GCGCCCTCCCATTCGTCTTCTCCTTCAAGCTCTGAGAATACCAAATCTGGAACCTCTGTTATCTCCGTGATCTTTCCCGTTATCATTGCTCGTTAGAAACCTTTGGTTTCCTTTCCAAGCCGATTTGGAACCGTTATAGTCATTCTTGTCTTTACCATGTTTAGCATTATTCTTTCCATTCTGATTATTATTCTGCATGTACGTCCTTTTTTGTGCCAGCATCCACGATCCATAGGATTCCGTGATTTCTGCCCTGATTTCCAATTTACCGTTGCTTTGATTTTGGTGTCCATCCTTCGCCACTGGCAGCTCGTCGCCGTTTTCCGCCACTGGATTCTCTTCTTCCCCATTCTTATGTCAGCAACTATCTTGCATGTGTCCGTAGGTTCCGCACTTGAAACATACGAGATGGATTCTTTCGTACTCAATCTTCTTTACATGGCGCTAGAGAGTGAATTTCGAAAGTAGTGGCTTGGTGATGTTGACTTCGACACACATTCTCGCAAAACGGCCTCTTGAGACAGCTAGCGCTCCTGGCCTCGTCAATGAACTTTGGTTCCCCAATTTTTCTTCCAATATTCATAAGAAAATCATGGTCGAAATATTCAACCGAGAGATCGAGAATCCGCACCCATACTAGAACGCGCTCCGTCTTGCCTATTTTTGGATCAAAGTTTGGTTTCCAATCCTGCACAATCAAGTAATGGTCCATGACCATCCAAGGTCCTCCGTACTTTGCGAATTTGTAATCGTCGATGGACCAGAAACGAACTAGGTAGTATTCGGCATTGAGCGTGACAACCTCCATTCTTGATTTTGGATGCCATATGTTTTGGAGCCTCTTGGCTAAGTAAGTGTAGCCTACCTTTCTCCCTAAGACCTTCACGATCACCGATTGTTGCCATGGTCGACGCAGACGGATCTTCTCCTCCTTAGTGACTCTTATCTCAGGGCATTTGGGATCTTCATCCATGTCCTCGTCCTCATCTCGGAGACCACAATCTCATCCTTACTCCTATCGCTTTTGGCACCAGCAAAAATTTCGTTGTATGAAGGCACTGCGTTTTCTGTATTCCCGGGCTGATTCTCGGCCTCTTGCATTTCTCCCTCCGCCCCCGTCTAGACTTCTACACCTTCCATCATAGTTTCCCCATTGAAGTTCTCTTGATGTTCAACCGACGTCTTTGATTTTTTCCTACTCCTCTCCAACAGATCTTGATCTTCTACCGTCCGAGTTGTCGTGGTTTTACCATCGACGTTGCCGGGCGTTGAGACTCTAGAGAGCATTTTTGTATGCACGTTTATTTTATATCTTGAATTTAATAGTGCAAGTTGAATTAAAAGTTATGGGGTATGGATTAGAAAGAGTTAGAAATAGTGCTAGTTTTTTGTTAGCCACACCAAAAAGACTACAAGTTTTTAAAGAAATTGTAACACATTTCAGTGTAGAGTACTCAAAATAGTATGAGATTGTAAGACTCTGTGGAATTCTATATATTTAATGCTTTTTGTTACATTGAAATACAAAGATGTTTTTTTTTTTTTTGAAAAAGTAGAAAATTGGAGAAATTGAAAAATGCAAAATGAAAAACTTATTTATAAATCAATTCTTCAATTCCAATTTAGAATTATGTATGCTACTTTCATTCACCCATTTTTCTATGATTTTGGAAAATCCAAAATAGCAATTCTTCAAATAGAGGAGTGGAAAAATATAAATGAACACTTCTCGAAGTCAGACATTGAATTGTGTTGCATACAAAAGCGTGAAGGCTATAGCTTTCCATTTACCTTCCTTTTCTAATGTTTTCTCCTCCCCTTTGTGCTTTTCACATTCAAAACTATTATTATTATTATTTTCAATGTTTTCTTCCATCTTTTGTGCTTTTCGCATTCAAAATAATAATAATAATAATAATTATTATTATTATTATTATTATTATTTATCTTTGGCGTTTTCCCCTTTAATTACTATTATTACTTATTATTATTAGCACCATTGGTGGAACACGCGTTACATTAAAATTGATTTTTAAATAAAAAAATTTAAAATCTAATTTTTAAAATAATATCAAATAATTGAAGAAATAGAAAATTAGAGAATTGAAAATTTGGAAAACGAAAACTAAAAAATGAAAAAAAATGAAAAAGGGAAAACCGAGAAATAAAATAAATGACAACTAGTTAATTCATTTACTTTTCTTTCCATGATCCAAGTTCCTAAAAAAAATAAATAAATAATAAAAAAATAAAAAAAATAAAAAAAAAATAAAAAACTCATCACTTCATGAGATATTGATTTACTGGAAAATTGGACAGGGCACCGCATCCCATAGCGCCGTCAAAGCATGAAGACGGTCAAATAAAGCCGTAGTACGGTTGCAATAACTTGTGCGCTTATTAGAGCACCGCCTCACACTTATGGAGAGGAGCGCACCAATTATTTAGGGAGCTTTGACACTAATTAAGTACAATCGTTGTACTTATTAGAGCCTGTTGTGCCATTATTATAACCGTTATACTTAGTAATCACTTATGATATAAAAGTGGAGCCCTTGTAACAACGAGAGGTCAAGAGGACATGTAACACCCCAAATTTTCAACACATTTAAAACTTATAAAAATAAAGGTGACATCCCATTAAATCCCATAACGTAATACAAGAGTACGGGGTGCTATGCCACACCTGAGCTAGAGAACTCAGGTGCACAGGCTAACTAACTAATATCCTCAATAATGTAAACGCATAGACATGGCACGCAGGCCGAAAGGGAAACTATCTACTTCTACGCTCCAAGTTCTAGCGCGCTCCAGTGACTTACTCTTCTGTGCCTGAAAGCCAAATATATCTGTTCAGCGAGAGATGCTGGTAACCCACACCAACGCGTTGAAATACAGTACATATAGATATATATATATATATATAGATATACGAAAACCATTTTGAGCATGAAGATATATTCTACGAACTCTAGCTTTTAAAACAGGGATAGACTCCACATATAGGGCTAAGCACAGACAGCAGTTATACCAAGCATATGCAGTTTACAACAGGCAAAACAGATAACATATACGATTCCCAATATGGATCCCATAGTCACATCCCCAAGGCACTCATAACAACAACTCCTCCATATCTCATCACATAGCAAACTTTGTTGGCGCCACAGGACCAATCGCATGCCCATACATGAGGGTCAGCGCATATAGCTCTGACACGGCCCCGCAGCACCCTACCCCGTATCGCAACACGGAGGGGTCGATCGCAACCGACCGATGAACCGCAGCTCATCATAGTGTTTGATCGCAACCAAACAGTGGACCGCAGCCCAAGAGTATGTCATCTGACCGCAGCCAGGAAATATGAACCGCAGCTCATGTAGAAACGTTTGATCGCAACCAAACCGTGGACCGCAGCCCAAGAGTGTAAATCTGACCGCAGCCAGCTTCTAAACCGCAGCTCAGGAATAACCGATCCGATCGCAACCGAATTGGGGTATCATGCACACATAACACCTAGCAAGCACATGCAACCCACATTAGCACATTGGGAAGGGGGAGGAAACGTATAACAAAACCTATGCGTGATCCTTCACGTACTAAGAATAATCCTAAGGGGTTCATACTTCTTTCACCTAGGTCAACGGGATACCAATTCAACTAGCATGCAATATATAAGACTCATACAACCTACGAACGGTACCCGAAATATCAAACTAGACATAGGCACGATAGACGGAGTCCGTTGGGACACCACGGGGGTCGGGGGAACATCAAACGGGGAAGCCAAAATCCCAAAGTGGGGTCCAAACCAGCGGGTAGCCGGTGGGTGAGGATTCACCCGCCGGCGGTAGCTTATCCGGGCAGCAGGTGCCCGGCGGGCAGCTGCCCGCTGCCGGCGTTGCCCAAGAAGGCCGCGGGTAGGTGGCGGGTCCCCTACCCCCCACTGACTCTTTTTCACCAAAAACGTCCCGGGAACCTTTGTGGAACCCGAAACCATGCTTAGACACTTTCAAACGCAATTGATAACACATGTAGACAATTAACGGATCAAAGATCGAGAAACATATGACACATAACCTATCATGCTTTTCTAAACATAATCAACACCTAATCATGCGAATTCCCACCCAATATACCAAGAATAATTCCATACGATACAACCTAGGGTACTAATCATTTTTAAATCAACAAGGACACAATTCATCTTCTAATATCAAGATTCGGTAAGAATATCATATAAACATCAAGAACATCCTACAATCATCAAGAACATCATATAATCATCAAGAACGTCATATAATCATCAAGAACACCATAATTATCAAGAACCTTTCATCATCAAGATCACCCATGGAATTATCCCATCAATCATCAATAATAATATCACAAATCATCAATACACAATAATATGGGGAAATCCTACGGGGGAAATCATAGCTATGAAAATAGGTTTTGTTGAGACATGGGTTACCTCTTAGCCTTAATTAATTCCTTGGCTATGAAGGGTCTTTCTTTAAGCTTTCTTGCTTTCTTGATTTCTTCTAAGGGAATTCTTGGAGCTCTTTGGGGTGGTGAGACGTTTATTATGGTGGGGGTTCTAGGTGCCTTTAAGTCCCCTATTTATATATTTAGGAGTCCTGGTTAGGAACTAATATTATAGGCTTGCTAATTCTATTCCTTTTGGAACTAAGGATTGGGTTTAGGGATAAGGGCCCATGGACTGGTTTTAGGGATCGTAACACGGGGTGTTACAGGACACCTCTCCGAACTTAGTACTCATACTCTTAGAAATACAAACTTTATTACACTGTATTTGTTTCTAAATATGTGGCCGTAGTTAGTGATAAACTGTAACAATAAAATTTATAAATTTCATATGCGCAACATTTCTTTATTATGATTAAAATCGCATTGGCCTGTCTTTGTTTTCCATAAACTTGTTGACATGTTAATCCAATTAAGGGTATTATAAAAAATCAAATATGAGCAGAGTGAAAATGGCGGCAAAGACTGAGATGAGGTGAGCAAGCGCCTCTCAGCTCTGCCATCAATCACCATGTTAATGTGAAGAAGATTGTATTACTATAACCCAACCACCACTCTGAGTTTCAATACATTCGCTGCATCCATCCTTCACATAGAGGAACAGCACTTTCATCGTCCCATCGCCACCAACCCACAGCTACCCAAAGAATCCATCTTTAAATTCCAAGATCGCTATAACTTCGATCATACATCAAGTGAAAGCAGTGCTTCCAACCGCTTTGGGACGACTGCTTTACCTGAAACACACTCCTCTTTCTCGCCCTTGTTTTCTGGAAAGTACGGTTATTTAGTCGACAAGTACCGGTTCCTGAGTCCTGTGAACGACGCAAAACATCTGCATTTGAAAATTGTGAAGAATGGGTATAGTCAAGAATTGTTTTTGTGTAATTACCTTATTCATCTGTATGTGAAAAATGGTGATATGGCTGCTGCAAGTGACCTGTTCGACGAGATGCCTGACAGGAACGCGATTACCTGGGCTAGTTTGATCACAGGGTATGCTAAGAATGACATGCCCAATGAGGCCTGTGAAAGTCTTCGACAGATGGTGCGTTCGGGATTTGTTCCTAACCATTATTCTTTTGGTAGTGCTTCAAGGGCTTGTCAATCTTTAGGGGCTTGTGGGCTTAGGTTGGGGATGCAAATTCATGCTTTGGTTTTGAAGACGTGCTACTTGGTTGATGAGGTTATATGCAATGTGTTGATTTCTATGTACAGGTGTTGTGGTGATCCTGGGGAATATGCTTGGAATGTATTTTGTGGTATAGAAGCTAAGAATTCAGTGTCTTGGAATTCTATAATTTCCTTTTATTCTCAAAGAGGAGATTCTGCTTCTGCTTTCAAGCTTTTCTCCATTATGCAAAATGAGAGCATGGAATTTTATTCTAAACCAACTGAAGACACTTTTGGCAGCTTAATTTCCACTGCTGCTTCTCATGGTAATTGTGGTTTGCTTTTGCTAGAGCAGGTATTGGGAAGAATTGAAAAATCTGGATTTTTAAAAGACCTGTATGTGGGCAGTGCTTTAGTTTGTAGTTTTGGAAGGCTTGGCTGTCTTGACACTGCATTGAAGATTTTCAAGCAGATGGGCATGAGAAATGTAGTGTCTATGAACGGTCTGATGGTTGGACTCATTCAACTAAAGCGAGGGGAAGACGCTGCTAAGGTTTTTGTTGAGACAAGAGACATGGTTGAAATAAATTATTCCTCTTTTGTTGTTCTTTTGAGTGCTTTCCCTGAATTCTCTTTGTTGGAAGAAGGAAAACAAAGAGGTAAAGAAGTACATGCATATGCTCTCCGAACTGGCTTGTATGATTCCAAGGTTGCTATTGGAAATGGTCTAATTAATATGTATGCAAAATGTGGTGCAATTGAAGAGGCCCGTTCTGTTTTTAACCTCATGATTGATAAGGATTTAACATCTTGGAATTCTTTGATCTCTGGTCTTGACCGGAACGAGTGTTTTGAAGATGCAGTCTGGGGTTTCAGAACAATGAGGAGTATTGGTATGATGCCTTCAAACTTCAATTTGATCAGTGCTTTGAGTTCATGTGGGAGCCTTGGTTGGATCAGGATGGGCAGTGGAATACATTGTGAAGCAATTAAATTGGGACTTGACTTGGATGTGTCAGTGTCTAATGCTCTCCTTGCATTGTATGCTGATGTTCGGTTTATCTGTGAATGCAGGAAAATATTCTCCTTGATGCCTGAACGTGACCGTGTTTCTTGGAATTCTATAATTGGTGCATTGAGTGATTCTGAGGCATCTACTTTTGAATCTATAGAATATTTCATAGAAATGATGCGTGCTGGATGGAGACTTAACCGAGTTACTTTCATAAATGTCCTTTCTGCAGTATCATCCCTTTCTCTTCTTGGTCTTGCTAGCCAAATTCATGCTCTGGTACTAAAATACAATGCGATGGATGATGTAGCTATTGAAAATGCATTTCTTACTTGCTATGGGAAATGCGGGCAAATGGATGATTGTGAAAAAATATTTTCTAGAATGTCTGACAGGAGAGATGATGTGAGCTGGAACTCTATGATCTCTGGGTATATACACAATGAGCTCCTAACAAAGGCCATGGGTTTAATCTGGCTTATGCTGCACAATGGTCAGAGGTTAGATTGCTTCACCTTTTCTACCGTTCTGAGTGCATGTGCCTCAGTTGCAACACTAGAGCGTGGCATGGAAGTCCACGCGTGTGGGATTAGAGCTTGTTTGGAATCAGATGTATTTGTTGGGAGTGCCCTGGTTGACATGTACTCCAAATGTGGCCGTATAGATTATGCTTCAAGATTCTTTAAATTAATGCCTGAAAGAAATGTATATTCATGGAACTCAATGATATCTGGTTATGCAAGGCATGGACATGGACATGAAGCACTAGAGGTTTTCAGAAAAATGAAGCTGGAAGGCCAACCACCAGATCATGTTACTTTTGTTGCTGTCTTGTCAGCTTGTAGCCACATAGGACTCATCGAACAAGGATTTGATCATTTTGAATCTATGAGCAGAGTGTATGATTTGACCCCTCGAATCGAGCATTTCTCTTGCATGGTTGATCTCCTTGGTCGAGCAGGCGAGCTTGATAAGATGGAGGACTTCATCCAAACAATGCCATTAAGGCCTAACGCGCTAATCTGGAGAACTGTTCTGGGGGTATGCAGTCGAGCTAGTGGTCGCAAAAGAGATCTAGGTAGGAAGGCTGCACAAATGCTTATGGAGCTGGAACCTCAAAATGCAGTAAACTATGTTCTTCTAGCAAATATGCACGCCTCTGGTGGGAAGTGGGAAGATGTTGCTCAGGCCCGACGCTCTATGAGGGAAGCAACAGCAAGGAAAGAAACAGGATGGAGTTGGGTCAGCATGAGAGATGGCATTCACGTTTTTGTTGCTGGCGACAAATCTCACCCGGATACAGATGCAATCTATGAAAACCTCAGGGAAGTGCACAAAAAGATGAAGCTTGTAGGGTATGGGCCGCAGATAAAATATGCTTTGTATGACCTTGATCTGGAGAACAAGGAAGAACTCCTGAGCTATCACAGTGAGAGAATTGCAGTTGCTTTTGTTCTTACACGCAAATCGGAGATGCCAATAAGAATAATGAAAAATCTCAGAATTTGTGGGGACTGTCATGATGCCTTGAAATACATATCACAAATTGTTGGCAGGCAGATAATAGTACGAGACTCCATCAGGTTTCATCATTTTGGTGATGGGAAGTGCTCATGTAATGATTACTGGTGATTGATCAAGAGTTGCTTCTATCAGGATTCAGGAAGCTGCCATTGCAGCATTACTGTGGCACAGGGATAAGGAGATTGAGAAGGCCATTTTGCAAGTATGGAGACCACACAAAAGAGTGTTGTATTCTTATGAGGGTTTAGACTGTGAATGACTGGCTAAGACAAGGTAATGATCATAGCCTGATCAATTTTTTTGGATCAACGGGAGGGGCAGGTCGAAGCTCAAACTAGGAAAATAGTGCAGAGTCTCTCCTCAACTCAGAGACTCCCAACCAACCGTCCTCTAAAATTTGCTAAAGGATTATAGGAGGACGATCTTCTAACACCTGCAAACCTTGAACATGCTAGAACAAGTTATTTATTGGAGGAGAGTAGGTTATACCGTGTTAATTGTGAAGTGATTTAATCTTCATATTTAGATTTAAGGTCTTGCCTCTGACAAACTTTATCTATGATTTTTGCAGCTTTAACTTCAAATTTTGCATCATTAGTTGGTTTTTTTCAAAGTAGAGAGAAAATAAGAAATCCTTAATTCAAGGAGTGCTAATGTGAAAGACTTTATTCCTATAATTGCATCCGTTCTCTTTCAGCTGAGACTATTGAATAAATTTCAGTATTTTACAAATTCAAGTGCGTGTGGAAATGTAGGTATACAGCTAACAAATCAATGGACAACTGTGCATTCTGCAATGCTGATGGGGAGTTTTTGATAGTTCCTCAAAAAGGAAGTAAGTGATGCCCCACTTCACTGGTTTAATGAGTCATTTGTTTTTCAGTAACCACGCGGTTCTGTTTGATTATACCTAAGCCAACAATCCAAGTGAAACCAATTTCACTTGGATTACAACTGAATGTGGTAGGTTGCAAGTCAATCCTGGTGAAATAATTGTTATTCCTCAAGGATTTCGCTTTGCTGTTGATCTGCCGGATGGAGAATCGCGAGGTTATGTTGGTGAAATTTTTGGAGCTCATTTTCAACTCCCTGATCTTGGGCCAATAGATGCACATAAAGTTCAAAATTACTTACACTCCGTGCATGTTATGATATGCTTTGATTCTGTTTAGGTGCAAATGGTCTTGCTGCTCCAAGGGATTTTCTTGTTCCAGTGGCATGGTTTGATGATAGCTGCTGTCCAGGTTACACCATTGTACAAAAATTATCAATACTAGTTTCATTCCTGGAGTAAAAGTGTTGTGTTTGCAGTATGATCTAAGCAAGTTGTGCCCTTATAACACTGTTTTGTTTGATCACAGTGATCCATCAATAAACAGTTGCTTGGTGTGTTGTATTATTAGATATATAGATTGAGTTGCAAGTTGTGTTTGATTCATTTTCAAAAACCAAATGCAGTTTTGACAGCACCCACAGATAAAGCAGGAGTGGCATTGATGGACTTTGTCATTTTTCCACCGCTGAACATACACAGTTTTGGTCCTCCATATTACCACGATGGATGGCATTCATGTTCGAGTTTGATTGTTTGATTGTTTGAAGTCTCACTTCACAGTTCACAGATGAGTTGGAAAATGGACACCACTGAGGTATGCCTCACCAGTCACCAATGCTTCTCATCTTCTCATGGTTCCACCGGATCGGAGTAATGAAGATCTGTCTCTATCCAAATGCCACACTTAATTTCTACAGAATAATACATTATTAGGATACAAGTTGATGCATGTATGAGTAATTGAGTATGACTGAAACATAAATAGGAATAAGGTTCAAATTGGCCACTGAACGTAACCTGAAAATGCAATTAAGGCCATTGAACGAAAAAAAGTGCAATTAGGTCACTGAACACTCCAAAATCATACAATTAGGCACTAAACACTCCAAATGCATGCAATTTCACCGGATAGCAGGTTACCATCAATTTTTCCAGGTTATCTGCTTACGTGGCAGCTGAGTTGGTATTTTTAATAAATTTTAAAAATAATTTTTTCGTTCAATGGCATTTTCAGGTTACGTTCAGTGGTCAATTTGAATCTTATATTCCATATAAATATGAATAATGGAGCGCTGGTTCTCTTGAGAGATGGAATTATCTTGTACTTATTTAATATGGTGGGAATGTAAGTTCATGTATTTGGTTTACGTTATTTTCTTTCTTAAGTTTGTCTATTGACGTAACAATAAAACTTTTTATATTCACTGGATATTCATAAATTGGTTAACCAGGATAATCAAGTTCAATCAGGAAAGGTATGGCTATCACGTTTAGTCATATAACCAAGTAGTTTGTAGTTCAATGTTATAGAGGTGAAGAAGAGAAAAAGCGAAAGAAAAGGAAAGATAAAGGAGACGAAAGAGGAAGAGGAAGAAGTGGTTGCCAGAATAAGAGGGGTTCATTTTATCATTTATCACTGCCGAAGGTCAGAGTCAACGTTAGCCAGAAATGCACAACTTCAATTGGTAAAAAATCACACAAATTTCACCATGCAAATTATTTTTCGAATTTAGCTCTTATCCATTGGCTAATTAATTTGATTCATATTTTTTTAATTATTTATTTATTCTCAATGACTTTTAACTTTTAAGACAAAAATAATCCATATTTTGTACTCATAAAAAATTTTGTGTGGTTTTTCATTTTCAACAACTATCATGCAAAAACTCTTAAAATACTCCATTCGGATCGATCATTCTTTCTATACTCTTAGTTTTCTTGTATTTTATTCTTTAATAAATTACAAATAAATTGTAAGTTATTAATTAATTAGGAAAAATTGAACCTTTCACGAATGGAGTAGATAATAAAAAATTAGAATATGTAATATAACTAAACAATTTATGACATATCAACAATAAAGAAATGAACAAAAAAAAAAAAAGGACTCTTTACACCTATAACACATGTTGTGATGAATTAATACATTAAAAATGTTATATTTATCTAATAGTATTAATTTATACTTTTAGAAAACACCGTACTCTTTTCAAGCAAAATCATTACCAACTACCATACAACTAAAAATAGTATAGACAAATATTATACTATATATATATATATATATACTAGTTTTTTTACGCGCTTTGCGCAAATGGGATAATGCCCAATAATTATTTTTAAATAAGTATTTCAAAGTATATCAATGCAATATTATATAGGAGATGTTCATGTATAGGTAAATAAATGTTGAATTTGTTTATTTAAATCGGTAATTTAAAGTATATAAATGCAAGATAATATATGAGAGATTGATTATAATTGTCACTAAAATAAATGTTTGCAACTTTGTAATAACGCTAGTTTAAATACTTAGTCTTAAAGAGATAATCTAAATAAATACTACTTTTGGTTTAAATTTCTCTAATTCTTCTTAATTCTCGTTTGGGTAGCACTGTTTTTGTTTTCATCTTCAGTACATGTCCTCTTTTTTTTTTTTTTTGGTAGTTTGTCATGTGCAATTAGGTTACTGGTAGAAGCATAGAGGGATTCATCATGCAATGAGATTATGGTGTATGAAGTTTTAGATTTGGATTGCTGTGTATATGACTAAGATTTTAGTTGTAATATGAACTCTTTAGCATACAAACACCTATTGATATTTAGTAGTGGTAGTTTTTTCCCTACATGTTTCATGTGTTGTGAGATGTGTGTCGTAGGTTATCATGTAAAAGTATTGAACAAACTATTAATATTTATTATATTTGTATAAAATACTTGATAAATAAATAAATAAATAAATAAATATATATATATATATATATATATATATATATATATATATATATATAACATGTTTTGTATTATAACTTTGATATTTAATTACAAGATAATGTAAAAAAGAAGACAATGAACAATGTAGTGAATATAATAAATTAATAAATTTGAAGGTAAGGAATCTTTGAATGGTAGAAAATAAAGATAATATAACTAATGAAATTATATTTCTTTTAAGTTTTTTTATAATGAATATTTTATTTTTAAATAAAGCATTATGTCTTCTAAATTTTTTTGAATGCTACTAGCTCTATTACATTGTAATATGTGTTCATATACTTTCTCAACCTACTGAAACACAGAGAGCTAATAACGCCTCCACTGAGGCTCGAACTTACAACCTTCCAAATGGAAGTCCAACCCGAATACCATTAGACCACATAGTACTGGTCATCTAATTCTAAATTAATTAAATGTATATGTATTTTTTTTGTAGCTACTAATTTATTTAATTAATAAGAGTAATAAAGTGTCGTACATATTTTTCTTCAACAATATTGAAATCAATGATTTTTTTTTTTTAAATTTCCATTCCTTGTTGAGACATATTGTTTTGAGAGTTTATTAATGACAATTGTTACAATTGCTGTCAATAGAGGATGATAATAAATAATTCAAAATATATGGTTACAATATATATTAATATAATGATATAGTAAAAATTAACTTACAAATTTCTTTAGAAGTTTTCATGCATTGATAAAATTTTGATGTGTAAATTTGTTCAATTGGAGCTAGTAGGATGTTAACATTGTCAATTATTTGAAAAATGATCCTACCGTTTTAGAGTCCATTTGTAATTGTATTTATGATCAACAACTTTGTAGTTAGGCTGCGCAGGTCTGACAATTATGTAAGAACAATTTTGTCTGATAAAAAAATAATAGTATAATATTTGTAAAGTAATGTACAATTGTACCATTATAAAAAAATACAAAAAATATTAATACCATAATGGCCTAAATCATTCCAATCATGCAAAAACATAATTGAAATATTAAGTTTTGTTCTAAATAATCAGAAAAAGATTAATTAAAAAAAAAAAAAAAACTTAACCTAAATTTCTTTTCTTTTTTTTTAAAAAATAAAAAATTCAAGAAAATCAAATGATTTTAAAGTAGTTCCTGATTTATAATCTTTGATGCTCAACTTTGAATGCTATGTATTTAGTCGAGCTAATTATTTGACCAAAGTTTATGTTAAATTTTATATTATATATTTTGTTAATACATTTTAACATATTCATAATTCATAATATATGTTTAACAAGCCAAGAGGGTAGCTCAAGTGACAATTGAGCTCTCTTTGTGGGGGAGAATTATGGGACAACCCGGGTTCAATTCTCACAAGTGACAATTCCCTTTGGGCTAACTTCTGTGCCTCTTGGAGCGAATCGGGTGGACCTGTACCGTTAAATGGATAGAGAAAGACCTGGACCACATTGTGGTTTCTACCAAAAATAATATATGAATATTCCGTTACTAAAGTTTAAACTAACTAAATTTAGGGTTATTTAAGGAAAGAAAATAATATAATAGAGGGTAAATAAGAAAAATCATTAAAAGATACTAAAATCAAAATAATATGAACCATTCATTTTAAGAAACAATTAGTACCGACATTTTTTTTGTTCCAGTTAAGGGCCTAACATTATTCGCTCTTATTAAATTTTTAGATTTAGATTATATATATATTTATATTTATATTTATATTTATATATCTAAATCTAAAAACATAATAAGTGTGAATGAAAGTTATATCCCTAATTTATGTCCGTTTTTTTCGTTAAGTTTTTTTGTACATTATGCTATAAAGGTTGTACATTAAAATATTTTGGACAAACATACCCCTACCGTTATAACTTCCGTTATCTTTTCCATGCACATGCATCCACCATATATTTTCTTATCTTCTTCATTAATAATAATATATACACATTAAATATTTGAGTTATATGTTAATTATTACATAAATATAAATATCAAATTTTGTAAAAATGATTTACATTATTATTATTATTTAGAATAATTTAAATATCTAAAATCTAAATAAATTTAAAATTTTAATATAAAGTATTAATATTGGGCACCTATTTTTTGCGCATCGCACATAAAAAATACTAATATATATATATATATATATATATATATATATATATATATATATATATATATATATAAGATGAAGGAGTGGTTGGAGTTGGTTTGAATTAAAAGAGGAAGATATGTTTTGAAAAGGATGGTTAAATAGGTGGAACATGATATATCTAAAAGTTATCAATTTGATATTTTTTAACATCATTATATTCAAATTTGACGTATATATCTTTTTAGTGTGGTTTACATATTTTTATATAATTTACATTCTATTACAGAAGAATATAATTTACTTACCTGTGAAGATATACATACTATAATTTCTCTCGTCACTTAAAAAATTAAATAAAGGAGATATGAATGTCAAATGAAGAAGGACAC